CTCAGGACTCCCAATCCTGGTCCTAAGATTCCCCTAACCTCACCTAAGGCTCAAATCTTGAGTTTTAGTCCTATAGTACTGGACCCTAAATCCAGAACTCCCACCTCCTTCCTTTTGACCCCAAATCTCTGGTCCAGCAGCCTAACTTCAAAGACCCCCCCAAAAAAACCTCACCCCAAAATCATAACTCAAGCCTTAACCCTTTAGGACAAACTCTAAGTCCAGAACTCCCTATCCAGGTCCCCCACAACTTCCTGGAGAGAAGGAAGAGAAGTTGTGAGGCTTTTGGAAAGGCCACATGTAAGGCATTCACGAGGAGTCAGTATAATAGCACATGCACAAGTCCTTTTAAGGTAGGTACAATTGGCATTACCATTTTCCAGATGAGGAAACTGTGGCCCAGAGAGGTGCAGCCACTTGCCTGGGGTCACACAGCTGATAAAGAGCAGAGCTGGGATTTGAACCTTGGCAGTTTGGCTCCAGGGTCTGTTATGCTGTCTTTGCAAATAGAAAACACATGACCTCAGCTACCTCATTGGGAAACATAAGTTAGAGTCCCAATGATTTGGACACGACTTCAACGTGGCAAGTTCTCCCGTTAAGGTAGAAGATAGGAGCACTAGGAGAGTAGCCTCTGGGGCTGTGGGGATAAGTGAAGCCACTGACCACAGAGGACAGCATCCAAACGGTGTCAGCTATTTTATGTCAGCAGCGTGCCTTGGCAGTATTTTAAATTTATTACTAAGTTAGTTAGCATTCTAAAATGAGGATGTCTGGATTTACGGCATCTCTTGAGAAACCAGAACCTCTGGTGACTGGTCCCCTAGTCTCATGGCCACTGGTGGGTGGGGCTTCCCCCTCTAGCCAGGGACACATACTTTCTCTCGTTTGTCCTAGTCCCTGTCATGTCCTCCTGTATTACAGCCTTTCCACTTCACTCATTTAGTTGCTCACCTGGCCCCCGGAGGCATGCGAGTTAGGACCAGGTTTTATTGTTTCCTGGGACCAGGGGTCTGGCCCTGACTTCAGCTTTATGGGGGCCCTGGACCCTTCTGGACCCTAATCCGAGGATCTAAGATCCCTCTCTTGCCCCAAGATGTGTCAGGCACAGTTATAAATCCTCACAACAATTTTTTCCAGTTGGGCACTATTATTTCCCTCCTTTTACAGAGAAGTTAAACAAATTGCCAAAATGAAACAACTGAAAAAAAATAGGGGCCAAGATTTGAAACCAGACAACTTGGCTCTAAAATCAAAGGTCACTTAACCACCATGCTTCCCTGTGCTGGCACATGTAGTTATTAAAGTCAAAACATACGAAGTTGCCAATATGTAATGTTTTTGTCCTACAATGTGGCAATTTCAAATAGTTTAACTTCTGTTTATATCCTGGGATAAAAACACCTAGCCTTGCTTCAAGAATCCTAGAACCTTCATGGTGAGCCCCAGCACACCAGAGCTTTCAGCCCTGATTCTGGGATCCTGGAACCCCAGTCCTGACCCTGACCCTGATTCATTCAACAATCATTTATTGGGTACCTACTGTGTTCCAGGCACTAAGTGCTTTTTACATGTGTTAACTGAATTTCAGACCCCACTCTCAGTCCAAGTCCTGAGCACCCCAAGACCTGACCCAGGGTCTTCAAATCCCCTATTCCCAAGGCTAGCAAATCCTCACCCTCAGTTCCTAGACCCACAGCCCCAACTGCTGTGGGCAAATATGGTCAGAACCATGGACAGCAGCTTCAGCTCGTCTGGACGCTGTGGACAGACCTCCCTGCCCTATGCGGCACACTGAAGCCACTCCCACTGCCTAGAAATCCCAGCACCACTGAGACTTTACAGCCTGATTTGACCTATGAACTTCATTCATTCACTCATTCATTAGTTCCACAAGTATTTATTGAGCACAGACTATGTACCAGGCACTATTGTAAGTGTTTTGTACATATGTCACTTGCAGAGGCCCTGGCTTTCAACTCCCCAGACCTGATCCAGGAATACTACAGCCCCAACCCCCAGAATCCACAATTTTCACCTTCCAAATACTTGTTGGAAAAATTATCAGTACTGTGAACAGTATCCCAAGCATTTATAGGCCTATTTGAACAGTCCCCTGGATCCTCAATGGGGCCCCCTGGAGGCCCTGTCCTTACCTAGGGATCCCAGCGTCCTTGGTACTGACTCTAGGCCCCAGAATCCCAGCTTGACATCCTTTCTTCACACAGATGAGTGGTGCATAATCTGCCATTCCAGGCTCTTGGCAGCAATACACTCATCTTTCACTGTGGCTGGGACACTGTGGTCACCTGCCCCTTTGGCTTGCAGGTGACCTGTGCCCCTCAGATTTGCGTGGCACTGGCTCTCCAGCAGCATACGGGGGCCATGTGATGCGGCTGTGTGCTGACTACAATGGGGACCCCACGGTTGACCTCCAGGTGTCTGGAGTTGTGGCAAGCACCCAGCTGCCTGAGGATGGACTGGCCTGGGCCTTTGGCCATAACTGTTTGGTGAATTCCCCAGCTGGGTGCCTGATGCTGCTTGGAAGATGCTGCCATCGCCACCATCCTGGGTCACCCTGCCAACCACCAGCACCACAGCCCACTTTGCCCACCTCTGTGACATCCTCTTGGACCCCCTGAGGCCCTTCTGGCAGTGCCATGAGTTGCTGGCAGCAAGCCCCTATTTCAAAGATTGCATGATGGACATGTGCCTGGGCACCAGACCCCGCCCCTCTACTGTGAAACCTGCCAACTGCTGGGTGGTCAAGTCTTCCCATGGCACAAGTCAAGCCTATGCAGTGAGTGCCCAGGGCCTCAGTCCAGCCATCATTGCTCATCTGGGAAACCTCGCTCCAGTCCTAACCATGGTTTAGTTCCTTGGCTGTTGCCCATCCTAGGGTGCAGCCCCTCCCTGCACAATTTAGTCCCTGAGACCTTGTACTTCCCAGCCAGCCTCTAACTGCCACCCTCCATTCCCCATCATGGTATAGACCCTCAACTTTTGCCCACCCTAAAGTTTCAGCGCAACTCTGACTAAACTCCAGCCCCAGCTCGTATGTTTCCCACTTCTCAGCTCTGATTATGGCCCGGCCCTTGAACACTCACCTCTTCAGAGACTTGGATCTGTTCATGGTTCAGCCCCCAAGCTCTTACCCATCCCCAGCCCTTACAGATCAGCTATGCCTGACTCATGGTTAGCCACTTGATCTTTACCTGAAGGTAAAGACCTGAAGCTTCCAGCTTCAGCTCTGCCAAGTCAAGCTTTCCAGTCCTTACCCCTGCAGGGCCCAAGATGCCTGATCCTAGCCCCAGAGGTGGGAGGTGAGACTCCAGCAGCCACGTGACCCCAGTAACTCTCCATTCCTACTCCTTCCCGCAGGCCTGCTGTGCCCAGCACACTTGCACTACATGCTGTGCGCTCCAGGCTGCTCAGCCACTTGTGCGGGGCTGGGGCTGGAGCCACCGCCAGGCTATGAGGGTGGCGCGCGCTGTCACCAGGGCTGCATGTGTGACGCAGGCTTTGTGCTGAGCAGCGCCATCTGCATGCCCATGGTTCAGTGAAGCTGCCCAAGTGCCGGCCACTACCTCGAACATGGTGGGCTGCTGCCACCCCTTCACCCTGAAACTGGCTGCTGCTGCTACCACCCTGGTGGCCAGGTGGCCTACAAACCCTGCCACATAGCCCAGGGTGGCCCAGGCCTCTGCTTCGCCTCAGGTGGGCTCCATTACCAAACTTTCGATGGCACTCCCTTCCACCTGCTGGATGCCTGCACCTGTTCATTGCTGGGCACAGACATGAGCCGCCTGTGGGGTGTGTGGACCTTAGAGGTGGCACTGGAAAAAAGCCCAGGGAGCCCATGCTGCTCCGCGCACGTGGCCACCACTTTGGCCTGGACTGTGAGGACTGGGGATATGTCAAGATGAGCCCCACCCTGTCACTCTCCTCATTTCTCTGCCTCCCAGGCTCTGTTCTGGCAGGCAGGATCTCTGTGCATCGCCCTCTGATGCTCTCCTCCCTCCAACACCCTCCTTTCCACTCTTTTCTCCCTCCTACCTTCTCTCTTCTCCACCTCCTCCTTTCTCTCCTTCTTCCCATTCAGTCCCTCACCCAACAGTCGGGTCTGCATGTCCCTGCTCCAGACTGCCCAGGCTCTGTCCCTTTCACTTCTCCTCTCTTCACCACCTCAGCATGTCCACCCCACCTGTCTCTCCCACCCCTCAATCTTCAGCTCCAGGTCTTTTTCTTTTCCACCTGGGTCTCCCTGTGCCCTCCCATGCTCCACAACTACCATTACGTCTTCCTCAACCTCCAGCCAGCCTCCACGACCCCTGGTCCGTGTGCCCCTCCCCCACCACTGCCCTTCCTCTTGAAGTCTTGCGTCTCTTTCTCCCCACAGTGGCCCCTTCTCTTCTCTCCTCCTCCGGCCCCAATATCTGCTCCCTCCTCTTTCCTGGATCCATATAGCCCTCCACAGCCTCCCCATGCCCCAGGCCCATGGATGCCCTCTAGGTGTCTCTCCTGTCCCCTCTCTCACTATACCCCATGCCCACCTCACCACTCTCCCTTCCCCTCACTTTCCTTCCCTTCTCCTGGTCTCCACGCACCTCCCCGCAATACCCCTCCCCAGAACTGCCTCAACTGCCTCTTCTCTCCCCGACCCCTCACCCCCTTCACACCCTCCTCTCAGCCTCCAGTCCCTCTCCACTCTCCCCTGGGTCTGGCACACCACTTCTCTTACTCCTTGCACACACTCCTCGCACTACCCCTCCTCCCTAGGCTTTTCCCAGATTCTCCCCAGACCTGAACCTCCCCCTCACTCTAGGCTCCCCCGGCCCCGGCCGCAGGTGGACTGCGTGCAGCGCTGCTGCCCTCGCGCTGACCAGGTGAGGGGTGCGCGCCTCCACGCGGGGTGCGTCTGTGGCGCTCGCGGTGCGTGGAGGCCCGCGGCTGCCTCCTAAGCGTGGCGCTGCCGGTGGCTCGTCACCGCCTCACGCGCAGCCTCAGCAACAACTTTAACGGCAATGCAGCGGATGAGCGGCAGCTGCCGAGGCCCGGACCCTGCGGTGCCACGACCCTCCCAGGGTTCTGGCTGTCGAGGGGCCACCGAGCACACGGGTGTAGACACAGCATGGCACAGCGCGTGTGGCCTCCTGCGTGAGCCCAGCGGCCCTTGGGGTCCTGCCACACAAGCCCGCCGCCGGAGCCCTTCTTCCAGTCCTGCGTGGCCGACGTGGGCCGTGTCCGCGGGAACCGCAAAGGGCTCCGCGCCTGCCTGCAAGCCTATGTGGCCCCCTGCCAGACTGCTGGTGTCGACGTGCGGGCCTGGAGGGAGCCCAACTTTTGGCGTAAGTCCCCCACCCGAGGGTGTCCAGGGCCGGCCCGGGTCGGGTGAGCGGCGGGAGACCTAGGTCTGGTCTTCAGTCATCCCAAGAGTGTTGAGGACCTACTATGTGCCATGCCCATGCTGGAGATAAGGCACCAAACAGGATAGAGTCCTGCACACGTTCTCCTTGGGAAAACAGATTGGATTTTTATCTCTCAGCACATTTACAGAGGGCTCATTCTCTATCGGGCGCTGTGTTAAGACAGTGGTTCTCAAATGTTGCCCCTGGACCAGCAGCATCAGCAATATCCAGGGTTTGTTTACAACGCAAACTCTTGCCCTACCCCAGACTTACTGAAGGAGAAACTCTGGAGTGGGGCCCAGCAACCTGTGTGTTAACAAGCCCTGTAGGAGACTGGGAGGCAAGGCCAGGTCTGAGAACCTGTGCTACCTGCTTTAAGTCAGCTCGCTCCATCTTCCAGCTGCTCTAGGAGATAGGGACAATCATTGTCTGCCTTCTGCAGTTGAGGAAACTGAGGCACAGAGAAGCTAAGGAATTCCCAGACCTCACAGCCAGTGAGTGGTAGAACTGCCTTCCACCTGACTCCAGAATCCTCGCTCTGACCCCCATGCTATATTCTCTCTCCAGCGATAATGTAAAAATAATTCCAGTAATAACATGAAAAGACCAGCTGACCTGAGTACTTGCTGAGTACTTGAACTGAGTAAACTGCTCCGTGCTAAGCCCTATATTACCTCAATTAATTCTCCCAACGGTCCCATCAGGCAGGTACATTTTCTGGATGAGGGAAACCAAGGCATCAATGGTTAAGGAATTTGCCCAATGTCGCACACCTAGAAAATGACTTAGCTGGCATCTGAACATTTGTTCATTTATTTAACAAATTCTCATCAACTTTGAGTCTCTATATGTCCACGTCTCCTCCATGCTCCTCATGGATTCTTGGCCCAACCCTGATTTATTTCTGTGTCAGTGTCCACCTCTTTCTGACCCCCTTCTGCCCCTAGGTTCAAATGCTCCTGGCGGGAATCTGTTTGACTTACTATTTACTGATAGACTGATGACCACCCCCACCTCTGTCTGCCATGGTCATTTGTCCAGCCCTGGCCCAGCCGCTGGTCATCGAGACACAATGTGGCCGCTATATCAGGCAGGACTCTTAATGGCAATGTCAGAATCCCAACTCAAACTGAGAGGAGAAAGAGAAAAGCATTCGGAGCACATATAACTGCAAAGACCGAGGGTACTTCTATCTTCAGGATCAGGTAGATTAAGGATTATCAGTTGCAGTTACAAGAAACCTGTTTCTCTCCTCCTCTGCCTTGGTCTTCCCTTCCTCCCTCTCTGTTAGCTTTATTCTCAAGCAGGCTCTCCCCTTGTGGCTGCAGCAAGGCTTTGGCAACTTTAGGCTGACAATTCTACCAGCTTCAAAGCCCTCGCAAAAATGTAACACCCTTTTCCCATTGGTCCCAACAAAAGTCCCAGAGTCACCACCCATAAGCTTTGCCTGTCCAATTATTGTGACCCAGAGGAGAGAAGAATAATCTGTTTAGCCAGCCCTGGGTTCTGTAGGCACCCCTGGAGCCTGGATATGGAATCACCTCACATAGTGAAAGTAAGGATAGGTGGTTGTCCAAACGGAGGTGGAGGTATTATTATCAGAAGGGTGCAGAGAGCGAAAAAGACGTCCACCACTAGAGCTCACCAACAGGCTGCCCACAGGACCAAACGGCCATAATAGGAAGTATGAGCACTTGGTGGTTCCAGGGATGGTCAACCCCTTCGGCAGGGGCAAGAATCCTTGGGAAGGATGCAGTCTGGGGGTGCTGGTTGGACAGAGGGAAGGCCCTGGCTTGCCTGAGCCTGACAAGCCTCCTCTCCACAGCCATGCAGTGCCCCCCACATGGCCACTACAGGCTGTATGTGAACCCCTGCCCTGAGGCCTGCCTGGGTATTCAGGGAGGTGGTACAGCTCCCTGCTCCCTGCGCTGAGGGCTGCCAGTGTGTTGATGGATTCTTCCCGGCTGGGCGTGGCTGCATCCCTGTGGACCGCTGTTCTTGCTTCCGCAATGGCCATACTTCCCTGTGAGCATCCTCTTGGGTCCTTGTTAGTTTCACTCGGATCCTTCCACTTTGCCTCTGATCCCCAAATGCTCCCTTGTTTGGGTCTCATCTCAGAACCTCTAGGTGCACTTCCCCTTCAGTAGCCCCTCACCTTTCACCCTCCCTCCCTTCCTCCACAGCCCCTACAGACCATCCTCCATTAAGAATTGCTCCTCCTCCTGTACCTGCCAGCTGGGGGAGGAGGTGACCTGTGTCCCCTTCAGCTGCCCTGTGGAGGAGGTCTCTAACATCACAGATGGAGTCCTAGGCTGTCGATTGCAAGGTGACCAAGGCTGCGGTCTGATGGGTCAGAGATTGAGGTATGACTCCTGGCTCCAGGGAAGGAAGGGACTGGTGACCTGGACTCCTGGGACTCATGGGTCCCTGACCCTCTCTCTCCCCCACAGCCACCTTGGCCCTTGCCCTGAGCTCTGTGGCCCCACCACTGGTTTGCCCACCATTGCTCCCTGGCCCCAGTCCCCAGTGCCTGACAAACTCTCACTTTATCCCATGTGGCTCTGCATGCCCAGCCATCTGCACCAACCCCTCAGCCCCAGAGCACTGTAGCCACCCCTGTGCCTTTACCTGCCAGTGCCTGCCTGGCCACCGGCTGCTGGAGGGTTGATGTGTGCCCCACGCCCACCGATCCTACTTCCTGTGCCAAGGCCATGCTTTCTGTACAGACAACTGTACTTGGCACTGCTGCTGCCTGGCCCTTGGTGCCCCAGTGAGCAAGGTGCCCCAGTGTTGGCCTGACAAGTGCCATGGTCACTGCAAGGCACCACTGCCTGTTAGCCCAGTCCCCACCCAGCCCCACTGTCCTGGAGGAGCCACTGGTCTGCACTGCCACTGGAGACTTCCACACATTCGCAGGAGCCCACTATGAATTCCCTGGCTCCTGTGTCTACTGCCTGGTAGGTCTCTGTGGCACAGCCCATGCCAACCTTGAGCCCTTTAGCCTGGATTTGGCCCTACTTCTGCGGCCACGTGGCTGCACCAAGGCCCTGACTCTCTTAGCCTGTGGCCTGAGGCAAGACATGAGTCCAAAAGATCTCAACCACATCCGCGTGAGGCTCCTAAAGCCCCACACTGACCCGCCATCCCTCACTGTCCCCACTACTCTCAGGTAACCCATAGTGACCCCTCTTTTCCTGCTGATGCCCCCTTCACTAACTCTCCCACTGGCCCTCAAAGATGTCCACTCCAGTTTCCTAGTGGCCTTATTCATCTCACACCATTGGTACTGACCTCCTCCTCACTGGCTTGCTTGCTGACCCCTTCTCACTGACCATCTACTTGTCATTACTTACCACTCTTCAGACTCCTATTACCCTCCTATTAACTCTCCATTGAGTTCTCGGTTGACCCCCTAATTGACTCCCCTTTATCCCACAGGCTCAGCCCTGACCTCTCCATTGCCCCTCCCTTTCACACCCCATTGAACATCCCATTAACCTATTGCCCCTCCCCAACTGATCCTACTCCTGTTATATTGACTTGCCCATTACCCATTTACTGTCCTGTTGGCTCCATCCCATATCCTTACTCCGTTGATCTGTACTGAGTTATCTATTGACCTTCTCAGTGATCTACTGAGTGGCCCATTAGTGCCCCATTTACGCTCCTGCGGCTCTTCCCATTGAGCTTCCTATTGATATTGACGCCTCCATTGAATTCTCAGGTTTTCTGTTATCCCAGTTGAGCCTCTCTCTGACTCATTTTCTCACCCACTGAGCCTTCCATACAGTGTTCCATTAATTCATTGACTGCCTCCTGACTCCACCCCCATTTACTCTCCAGCTGAACCCCCCCATTGCCACCCAAAGCCACCTACTAAGGCTTCTCTGGATCCTCAGGATCCTCAGGATTCGTCCATCCACTTTCTCCCTTTGCCCTCTTCTTGATCCTCCCATTGATCCTCACTGACCCTACCCTCTGACTCCCTAATTTTCTTTTTACCCCTCATTGATCTCCCATTGACGCCTCATTACTTCTGATTGTCCCATCACTCTACTATTGATCCCATTGAATCTTTTATTGACCTTCCATTTAGCCTCCAACTGACCTCCCATTGAATCCTTCTATGATCCCTAATGACTACCGCTGCTAACCCACCACTAATGTTCTCCTTGAGCCCTCTGATCCTTCGCTGACAAGTCCAAGAATTTCTGCTGACCGTCACCATCGCCTTCCCAGATGTCCCCAACCACATGCCCTCCCTGTAGGTGTACAGAATTCTGGAATCACTGCCCTTCTTTCACGGCCGCCGCCTCCGCGCCTATCGCTGGAGCCAACAGCTCTGCGGAGACTCAGACCTCGACCTCTTGCTGACATATGATTGGGGCAGCCTGGCACGTGTGACGCTGCCGAGGCCCCATGGACCCTACCTGTGCGGCCCCTGCGACCAGGTGGCCCGAGCGGCTCGCCCGCGCCCTTGCCTGGTGCCTGGAAGGTGACAGAGGTGCCGGGCTCTGGCCGGGCCTGCGGACCCGTCTGCCCGGGCCCCGCCTCCGTGGCCGCGCGTACCCATTCTGCCGCAAACACGTACTGCGGGCCGCTCTACAGCGGCCGAAGGTGCCGTGGGCCGTGCTGCGCAGCGCTGGACCCGCTCCGGTTCCTCGACGACCGCTTCGACGACATGTGCGGCCATCGCGGCGCCCGCCGCACCGTCCGCCGAGTCCTGGTCGCCTACACTGTCGCCTGTCAGGCTCTGCGCGCGCGCCTGCGGCCCTGAAGGACGCGCGACTCTTTCCGCGAGCGTGCGGGGCTGGGCAGAGAGAGGGCGAAGCTCGGCCGAGCTCGGATGGGCCACGCGGGGAAGGGCGCGGGAGGCCCGATGGAGCAGCTCCGGCCTGGGCGGGCGGGCCGAGCCAAGAAGGGCGGGGCTTGCAGAAGAGTTGGAGGACGAGGTTTGAAAGAGCGGCCAGACCCGGAGGGGCGGCAGTTTAATTAGCAAGATCTTTCTGTCTTTCGTGCCTGTCTCTCTCTCTCACTGTCTGTCTCCCCCGTGACTCTTGGTCGCTCTCCGAGTCTCCCTCTCTGCTCCTCACTGTATCCCTACCTCGCCTTCCCACTCTCTCTGTTCCTCGTCCTTTCTTCCTCGCGTCCCCCCGTGTTGCTCTCCCTCCCCGCCATCCTCCATCTCTGCCTCCCCGTCTGTTTCCCCCACCCCTCCTGTTTCTCAGTCTGTGTCCCCGGCCGACCCCCTTCTCCGTCCCTCGCGGTCTCTCCCCCGCGTCTCCATCTCTGTGCCCTCGTCTCTGACCCTCCCACCCCCGCCGCTCTCGCGCTCCGAGCTGTGCGGCCGGAGCTCTGCGACCCTGTGCCCGGGCGGCAGCCGATGCGCTGAGGGCTGCGAGGGCGACAGGGGCTTGGTGCTGAGCGGCGCCCCCTGCAGGCGGCGGCCAAGGGCGGCTGCTTCCGCGCCGCCGCTACCGCCCGCTGGGCGCCGGCCGGTACCCCGGGCGCGGGCACGTGTGCAGCCTCCGCAGGGGCGTGCGCCGCGGCCCGGCCCCCTGCGCGCTCGCCGGTCCCGCGCACGTGCTCGCCTCCGACGGCCGCGCGCTCACGTTGCCCGCGCCCTTCAGCCCTGCGGTTGCCTGGACCTGCCTGCCCGCCCCGCACGCCCCAGTGCCTGGCCCTCCTGCCTAGACGTGGCTGGCGATGGGGCCGGGCCGCTCGGTCTGCGCCTCAACCTCCCCGGTCGCCCCTGCAGCTACACCGCGCTGATGTCGGCGTCCTCGGCGGTACCTGCCGGCGGACTGCGCCCAGGCCCTGCCTCCTCCTCCTTCTGGAAGTGCCTCAGTTTCCCCCATGGTAAAATGGACATGTTTGCCTTCCAGGTTTGAAAGATGGTGCCAGTATATAACAAGGTGGAAGCGTTGCCTGGAACACAGTGATGGCTCCCTCAAGGGTCCCTGTTCGTGTTTGTATGATCACCTCCTACACAGGATTGGATAAAATCAGTCATTTAGGATTCCTTCAATAAATAGCTGTGGAGAATCTCTGGAGGATTCAACGGTGAGCAAGTTCTGGACGCGCACACATTCCTCCAGGGAAGCGGATAATAAGTAAATACATAAGTAAAATAGGTGATACATCAGATGATGAGTGTAAGAACTATAAAGAGAAGTAAAACAAGGAGAAGAGACAATAGGGAGACGGAGGTTTAGAATCTTAAATCAGGTAATAAGGAAGACCCCACCAAGAAAGTAACATTTGAGTCGAGGTCTGAAGGAGGTAAGGGAGGGACCCATGTCGACATCTGGGAAGGAGCAAACCAGGCAGAGGGAACAGCAAGCGCAAAGACCAGGGCCTTATAGGGCAGTGTGGTGCAGACTAGGCAGAGCAGTAGGAGGGAGGCAGGAGTGTGGTGAGACTCAGTGTGGTGAGACAGAGAGAGCTTCAAAAAGGGGTGTGGTCAGCAGCATGAGGAAGAGAAGGCCAGAGAAGGGGCTCTGGGATTTATTTAGTGCTTACTATGTGCTAGGCATGTATGTATGAGCATACATGTATCATCTCATTTAATACTTCCAGCAACTGTATCAGTCAGCTAATGCTGCATAACAAGCAACCTAAAAAATTTCAGTGACTTACCCCAACCAGCTTTCTCATTCACATGTCTGTGAGTCGACTGGCATTTGGCTGATCTTGGCTCGGGTCATAAAGCACTTACCATATGCCCAGCATTGTTCTAAGCACTTTTTGTTAATTTATTTAATTCTCCCAACAACCCTATGAAGCAGGTACTCTTATCCTCCCATTTTACAAATGGAGAAACTGAAGCTCAGAGCGGCTAAGTCCCTCACTCAAGTCTCACAGCTGGTTTGTGGCACAACTTGGAGGGATGTCCAGGCTCCTGGGAGGCATGGGAGCAGGCTCAGCCTTCTCAGCCCAGTCCTGACCCCTTTCCTTCTCCACAGGTGGATGGTGAGTGCTGCCAGCTGCCCTGGGTCCTGCCGGGGCCAGGGCCTGGGCCACCCTGGAGGGCCGCCATGTGGTGGTGCACACAGCCTGTGGGCTGCATCTCATGTAAGACTGGGGCAACTGGGTGTGCCTAACTGTGTCTTCCATGTTCCACGGCTGGCTAGCATGGCTCGGTGGTGGCAATGTTGGCCCCCTCTACCTGCCCCTGGACACCAGATCCTGGCCCACAGGCCTGGTTGCTACCCTCGTCCACCATCCAGGCCCAGCCTCGGCTTTAGCATTAGCTGCCCCATGCGCTTGCCCAGATTTTCAATGCTCCCAAACTGCATGGACTCCTACAGGCACCAGATGGTCCCTTTGGCTGCTGCCCAGGCCATATCAGCCCCAAGGCCTTCCTCGGGATACGCCTGCAGGACATATGTCGCACCCATGGCCAGCATCTTGGCCTCTGTGATGCCCTCACAGCCTGTACTGCAGCCTGCCGGGAGGCGGGATGCCCATGACACCCTGGAGGGGCCACAAGCTCTGGGGCAAGTTGTGGACTGGCAGGAAGCCACCCCTCTCCTGATGGGGATCAGAGAAGTCCTGACATCAATGGAATTAGCTGAAGAGAGTGTGTGGGAAGGGCATCCAAAGGAAAGGGAGCTGTAATTGCAAAGGGGTAGAGGTTGGAAAATATCGATGGGAAGCTAGCCTGCTGGGGCAGGGGTAATAGGATTGCAAAGGGAAACTTCAGTCATAAGCACTTGCCTTAGACATCCGCCTGCAGCCCTGACTTGTCCACCCTAAAGCCACTATGGCATCTGTGCACGGCCCTGTGAGGGGGCTGTGTCCCGCCTGCCAGCCCTGCTCGCTGGTCCACTTGATGCTATGAGGGCTGTGAGTATGACCCTGGCCTCATCTTTGGTGGCACAGAGTGTGTGTCCCAGGACCACTGCGACTGCTTCCACCATGGACACTCCATCCCTGTAAGAGAGGTCTCCAGGCCCAGGCTTGTGGGCGCGGAGTCTCCCATACCTCGTCCTAAGATGTTCCCTGAGCCAGGCCATATCAGTCAGCATTTTCAGTTGTATCTGCCAGAAAATAATGCCAACTATCTTAAATACAACAGGGAATAGATCGACTTTTATTTGTGTAAAGTTGAGGCTCAGGCATGGCTGGATTCAGGGACTCAGAGGATGTCACCAGGACTCAAGCCTCTATCTTTCATCCCTGCCTTTTCCTTTTTCTGTGTTGGCTTCTATATTAAGTAGGCTCTAGGTCCACCTGCTATGAGAGGCTCAAAATTACAGTGGCTTAGACTTGATAGAAGCTTATTTCTTTCTCATGAACAGTTCAGGTATAACCAGTCTGGTTCTTCCAAGTCAGGGACACAGGCTTCTTCTGTCATGTGGCTCTGCCTCCCCTGTGGTATTGCCCTCATCTGCTCCCCACCACATCTATATTCGAGCAGGTTGGAAGGGAAAAAAGAGGGGACAAGGAAGTCAGGCCTCCTCCCTTTAAGGGCACCCCCCCAGAAGTGGCACTTAGCACTTTTGTTCACTTCCCATTGGCCAGAACTTCATGGAAGGACCGCATCTGGCTGCAAAACGGGCTGGAAAGCATATCTTTAGCTGGGTGGCCATGTGTGCAGCTAAAAATTGTAATTCTAGGGAAGAAATGGAGGATGGATATTTGAAGACAAGCATAGCCTCATTCTCAAAGCACTTCTCTGTTTGGGGGGCAGTGGTGGTCGCAGCTGCTTCAGCTTTACAACGCACAGTTTAGCAACCTCAGTGGGAACACAGCACTTCTCTCTCAACAGCTCCAGCGGAAGTCTAAGGGCCGACTCCTACTGTCCAGTGTAGGTTATCTGTCCATCCCTAAACCCAACACAGAGGCCAAAGTAGGGGGTACTCTGATTGGCCAGGCCTGGGGCACGTGCCCAGAGATGGAGCCAGAGAGTAGATAAATCACCTAGGCAACCCCATAGACTGAGAGTGGGGCTAGTTCCCCAAAGAACCTCGGAGGCTGTTAGCATGGATGGACCCTGGGCGGGCAGTGTTCCCTTCAAGGTTTTGCAGCTCCTTGAGTCCATTAGGAGGTAAAGAAAACCCCCTTAGGATGGTTGACATAGTTGTCTTAGAGATTAGGGGCCACTGGAAAGGAAAAAGCATGGGTCTTTAAACCTCAGTGACTCTGGGGATGAAGAGATGCCCACACTGGGAGGAACAAGGCATAAGAGCAGATATACTGTCACTGCGTGTCCACTGCATGCCAGTGCTGACAACGCTAGCCGCAGGTCAGAATCTTCGGAGAGCTTGTAGGGCTTTTCACACACAAGTGAAAAGCAGAGGGATCGTCATTGATGAAAAGAGACTAAAATACCACAACCGTCCAATGCAGTGCACAAAGCTAGATCAGGTCCTGGTTTGCAAAGAACAGTTACAGAAGATGTTTGGGGAGCAACTGGAGAAATGCATCACATTTTTAAGGATTTGCCCTCCTCATATGGAAACGATGTTTCAATGGATTTTTAATTTGCATTTGTCTTATTAGGAGGTTGAGCATCTTTTCAAATGCTTAAGAAACATTTGTATTTCCTATACTATTAATTTTCTGAATACCTTTTGCTCTTTTTTTTATATTGCGTTGTTGGTTTTTTTCGTTCTGATTTCTAGGAGCTCTTGATATGTTAGGGAAATTAGTGCTTTGCGATATGTGTTAGACATATGCTTCCTTTTTTGTTGATGTTCAGGATGGTCTTTTGGGTCCGATTTTGAGTCTATCTGTCTCTGCAGGTTGGGGAGGTACTGGTCCTGCCTGGCTGCCAGGAATGCTGGATGTGCTTGTGTGGCCAAGGCCTCCAGTGCCAGCCCTTTTCCTGCCCACAGAGCACAGGCTGCATCCTGGATGGGGGTGTGCAGTGCTGTGAGGCTGGGGAGGGTGCCGCATGTCACCTGGTGCCCGGGGGTCTCTTCATCACCTTGGATAGCTTTAGTGGGCTTGCACCCAGGCCTGTTATGCCCTGTGCCTTTGAGCTAGCCACACTGGTGGGTTCCAGGCCCCAAGATCCTGACTGGTTCCATGTCCTTGCTGACTTCCCATCCTGTCCTGGCTGCACTGCGGGAGGCCATCGGCTTCAGGGATGGCTATGCGGCTGTGGGACCCAATCAGGAAATATGGGTAAGGGACTTCTTCAATGCCAGCCAAGACCCTTGTGTGACGTAGCACTGATCCCTGGGGCCTACTGACCCCTCACTGACCTTCAGTAGCCTTTAACATAGAAGTGGTTTCCCATGACCCTCTAATCTCACATTGGCCTCCATTGGCTAAATGTCCTTGCCCTGATCTCCCAGGACCCTCTAGACCCTACATAAACTTCTCAGGACCCCCTGAGTCCACCTTGCTCCAAGACCTACTGGACTCCTGGGAACTACTGACTGAGTGGTCAGAGCTGTAACAGGGAAGCAGAGGCCAGAGCGATCAGGGCTGGGATAGGGAAGCACAGGCAGGCTGTGGGAGCCCAGAGGTGCCCCCAGTTTAGGGGGTCTGTGAAGATTTTCTGAAGGAGGTAACCAATGAGCTGAGACTTGCAGTTAGGCTGGGGAACAGAGCAGGGAGGAACGTTGCAGAACAAGGCCATGACAAAGGAGGGACTGTATTGGGGACTGTGGTGAAAATCAGCTAGTGAGTCTAAGACAGCCCACCAAATGCGGTGGACTTAGGACCAAGGAGGCTATGAGTGACTTAGGAAATCACAGTAGGGGGCAGCTCCTGGACTACAGGGTTGAGGAATGAGGCTTACGGGGAGACAGCAGGCATAGACGCTTCTCTTGACAAGTTGTCCTTGAAGACAGAGGAGACTAGAGATGAGCCAGGAAGAGGCAGAGGGCCAGGCTATCTTAGAACTGATTTATTATGATGCTGCTTTGCAGATGGGAGAAACTCAGGGATGTTTGCTGATAGGAAGAAACTAGACAAGGAGAAGTTGGGAATCCAGCAGAGGGAGGCCGGGGTGGAGGACACCTGGCTCCCCAAGGAACCCGGAAGCAGGAGGGCAGCAGGAGAACAGGAATCTGGGCAGGCACAATGGATAGTGTTTCTAAGCAAGGGGAAAGCATGCCTGAAATCCCATGCTGAGACTCAGAACACAGCTGTGAGGTGGAGCAATTGGAGGAGCCAGAGGATGGGCCAGCAAGAGCACCTGGGGCATCTGCCACAATCTGGCAGGGAGGCTGAGCCAGAGCTTTGCTTGTAGGGCCAAGAGCCCCGGACTGTGTCTCTTAAACTTCTAGTGTAACTTTGGGCACATGACTCAGCCCCTCTCTATGCTTCAGTTTGCCCATCCACAAAAAGCAGTCATAAGAATAGTACCTCCTTCATAGGGCAGCTGTGAGCATACATGTGAAGTGCTGGTGTACACTAAGTGCTCTGTAAGTATGAGCTGTGATTGCTCTCGCAGCCTCTTTTATATTATTATTGGAGAGACAAGGTATAGAGCAGAGTGGTTAAGAACACAGGTCACGAATCCAGTACCCCCTCCTCCCCAGGATCCAAACCTGGCTCTGCCACTCACCAGCTCCATGAACCTGGGCAAGCTCTGTGACTTCTCTAGGTCTCTTTCCTTTTTTTTCTTTTTTTTTTTTTTTTTTAAGATTTTATGTTTCCTTTTTCTCCGCAAATCCCCCCGGTACATAGTTGTATATTTTTAGTTGTGAGTCCCTCTAGTTGTGGCATGTGGGACGCCACCTCAGCATGGCTCAGTGAGCGGTGCCATATTGGCGCGCAGGATCCCAACAGTGAAACCCTGGGCCGCAGAAGCAGAGCGGGAACTTAACCACTCGGCCATGGGGCCAGCCCTACTGGGTCTCTTTCCTAATCGGTAAGAGGCAAGAGGCATATAGGCTGCAGATCCACCTTGTCAGTGTGTTGGTGGGATTTAATATCATTGTAAATATTTAATAAGCTATTTTAACATTCACTATTTTAAAATAAATGTATTACACAAAATAATATAAATTTGGTGACAGTATATTAAAATATCAATTGCATCGTATTATTTTGCATATTTTATTGATGTACTGTGTCATACATTATCTTATGAATTGAATAGTAAAATATTAAAGCAGTTGGAATAGCGCCTGGCACAGAGAATGTTAGATTTTGAAGACAAGAGGTGAGAGACCTGACAAGTTCCAGAGGCTGTTTTTTCCCCTCTAAAGCTCCCTTTTAGGAAAGTGTTTATTATGGAAATTTTCAAGCATCACAGAAGAGAGAATAGTGTTATGAAACCCCATTACAGTTACACAGTGGTTTCTTTTTTTTTTTTTTAATTTTTTTTAAATTTTTTGAGGAAGATTAGCCCTGAGCTAACTACTGCCAGTCTTCTTCTTTTTGCTGAGGAAGCCTGGCCCTGAGCTAACATCCGTGCCAATCTTCCTCTACTTTATATGTAGGATGCCTACCACAGCATGCGTGCCAAGCGGTGCCATGTCCACACCCGGGATCCGAACTGACGAACCCCAGGCTGCTGAGAAGCGGAGCGTGTGAACTTAACCGCTGCGCAACAAGGCCGGCCCCTACACAGTGGTTTCTGAAGCCCCGCGGACTCCCAGACTCCGGCCCTAATCCCGGCCTCTGACCCGTCTCCCCTCTGCGCAGGTGAACCGACGCCCCGTGCGGCTCCCGGCCCAGTCGTGCGGGGGCGTGGTCGCACGCTGGGCGGAGGGCTCTGGGGTTATCGTCAAGCGGTCCCCCATGCTCTGGGTGCCCGAGGGGGCGGTGGCCCTCCACGTTACGAGGACGCCTCCGGGCAGCCGGCGGGGACAACAACGGAATTGCGGCCGACGACCTGATACTCTCAGGAGGACTCCGGGGCACCAGCCTAGTCGACGTGCTCCAGGCGTGCCGGACTCAGGGCTTCCACAGCTGCTGAGGACCCTCCCTCTCCTGCCCCAGGACCTCACTCTCATCAGCAGAGGGAGCTACCAGACCAACTCCCTGCCAACAGGCTGCCTTTGGGGGCTTGGAGCCCCCACCCCCTTTCCGTTTGTCTTCCCACTGCAAAGAGAAGCTCTCCTGCCGGCCGTGACTCAACACTTCCCCGCGTGACTCCGTCCGTCTGCGCGTCCCCAGGGCTGGGACCCACGACAGACGCCGGCCCTGGAGGTGGGACCGCACGGAGCTTCCTGCGATCGTTTTAATAAATAACTGATGACAAAAACACGCGTGTGCCTGTCTTCTCTCTCCCGTGCCGCCGCGCCCTGGGGAACACAAGGATTCCAACCTCTAGCTCCCTGCTCTCCCACGACCCAGGAGTTAGGTCAGGGCCCCAGTCCCCTTCCGACCCAAAATCTAAGAGTCCGAGCGCCTAGCCCCCTCCTCCTCCGGGATCCCAGAACTGTCCCCTCAAGGACACAAATTCCCGGTGAGGCGGGCCAGCCAGCCAGCCGCTCCGCCCCCTACGCCCAGCCCTGTGACGTCACTGCAGCGACAGCCAATGGGGCGCGAGGGCGAGGGAGGCGGGAGGCGGGAGGCGGAGCTGTGGGAGCGCGCGGGGCGGAAGTGCTCGCTGCCTCGCTCCTCCATCTCGCCCAGCGCCACGGCGCCACGGTTGGCGCGGCCTCCTCTGCGCGCCATCCCGGCCCCGCCGCCGCCATGAGCCGGCCCAGCCGGCTGCAGAGGCAGGTCCTGAGCCTGTACCGCGAGCTGCTGCGCGCCGCGCGCGGGAAGCCGGGCGCCGAGGCGCGGGTGCGGGCCGAGTTCCGGCAGCACGCCTGCCTGCCGCGCTCCGACGTCCTGCGCATCGAGTACCTGTATCGCCGCGGGCGGCGCCAGCTCCAGCTGCTACGCTCGGGCCACGCCACGGCCATGGGTGCCTTCGTGCGCCCGCGGGGGCCGACCGAGGAGCCCCGGGACGCGAGGGTCCCGGGGACCCCGCCTGAAGATGGTAACAGTCCAAGGAGCCCTCCCGACAGCATGGGGTCACCAGAGACCCCGCCTGATGGACGGTAACAGGCAGAAGAGCTCACCCGATGGCGCAGGGCAGCCGGGGGGCAAGTCTGACTGCGTGACGGGATCGAGGAACCCGCCTGATGGAAGGGGAGACGTCTTAAGAGACTAGCTCCATGGACTGGGGGGATCGGAGAGACCTCCTGGCAATGTGAGGGCCTAGAGACACCCATGATGGATGGCGAGAGATGTCCAAGCCTGCCCGATCCACGGTAACGGGTCGGACTCTTCCCTGAGGGCTTGGGGCGGCCTGGGTCGCCGGCTGGCTGGACTGTGTCAAGCTGAGAGCTACTTACTCCAAGGCAAGGGGAGTCAGGACTCCCGCCCCCCGCTCCCCCCCCCCCCCGCCCTCGTTGGACAGAAAGAGACTGGGACACCCTTTTGATGCCTGGCTCCTCAACTCCCCTCTCCTGTAGCAGACTTTTTGCTGAGGAATTTGGGAAGATGCCTTTATGGACGGTGAGAAGCCCCGAATCCCCCTTTGGAAAACTTTTCCCCAATTATTGCGACAAACTAGAACCGGTGAGGAAGGGGTTAGGGTGTCTCACGCTAGCCGATCAACTAAAGACCCCTCAAGACCTCTACTTGATGGTTCTGAGGGGGCATCGTGACTCCTGTGCCCTTCCAACTTCAGGACTGTTGAACAAAGGGAATAAAATTTGGGATGTGCTTACTTCCCTGTCGGTGGTCTTAAAGATTTTATGTGTTTGGGGATTTTTGAAGATGCCCCACAAACCAAGAAGTGACCCGCTGGGAGGGGTGGGTTTAGGGAGCTGTCTAGACTGGCAAATTGGTTCCAGCAGCATAGTTCTCTCTACTGGGCAGATCCATGGGACCCATCCTGGTTTGACCCCAAAGAAACCCCAGCTGACTCCTTAATGGAGGGCAGTGAGGCAGGAGAGGAAATGAAGAGGCCTGGCTGGGAATCCTTGAGGCAGTGGTGGGGAGCTCAAGCCTGGTAGCAGAGTCCAGTCTCAGCTACAAGCTGGGATTTTTGTCAGCAAGGCCCAGGGGTTGGGGAGGAGAGATGGGCGGGCAGACCACAGGCACACCCCCTCCCGTGTCCCCGTGTGGGCCTGCCCTAGACTTTCTCTGGGTACTGCATTTTGCACCCCTGAGCTGTATTTGCACCCATGTTGGTTAAATAAGTGGAAAGCAGACGACTTCTTAGCAGATGCAGCTGGGAGGAGGAGGAGGACGTTAGGAAGGAGCCCAGCCCTCAGACCAAAGGGAGGATGGACAGAAGAGAAGCATGACTCTGCCCTAAACCCTGTGGGGGAGGCAGGTGCCCAAATAGTTATCAAATGGGGTTGAAAGTTGCAGAATTATAATTTGAAGAGATATAATTTGTCAGAAGGTGGGGATAGGCTTCTCAGCAGGAGGACCAGTGTGGGGAAAGGCCTGGAGGGGGCCAAGGGGAGACACGCAAGGGCCCCAGAGCACAGGCTCTGCCCCTTGGGCGTGTGGCTTCTACTTCAGCTTTGTCTCCAGTTAATACTCACCTCGGGACCTCTGCACCTTGCTCCTCTCTCTCAGCCTCGGTTTTCATCTCAGCTCCTCTCTCCCACTCCTCGGGGAGTGGGTGCCTGGGAAGATTAAATGGGATTGGCTCTGAGTTGATAATGATTGGAGCTGAAGATGAGTCCAGGAGGACTTGTAATGCTGTTCCTTCTCCTTTTGTACAAGTTCAAAAAGTAGCAGAATGAAAACTGAAAAACCAAAACAAACTCCAGTGGTGCCCATCTCACTCAACTAGAAGTCCTCACTGTGGTCCACAAGGCCTCACCTGATCTGGCTCCATCGCCTCTCTCATTTCACCTCCCACTCTCCCCGTCCACGACTCATGCTCCAGCCACACTGGCTTTCTCACATCCCAGGCACACTCCTACCTCAGGGCCTTTGCACTTGCTGTTCCCTCAACCTGGAATACTCTTCCTTCAGTTCTGCACTGTCCAGTGTGGTACCTGGGAGCTACCTGTGACTTGAGCATTTGAAATGAGGATTTCTTTTTAATTTTATAAGTTTTAAGTCATTTAAATGTTAAAACTGAAGCAGTGTAAAATATTTTTTTTCCATTAAACACAAGTTTATTGTTTTGGTAGGATTACCTTTCATTTTATCTGTTGAAAATTAATTGTCTGAAAGACTTCGTAAGAAAAAAGGATTGTAAAATACCTCATTTTTATACTGATTACATGTTGAAGTGATAATGTTTTGGATATATCAGGTTAAAGAGAATATAAATTAAATCATTAAAATTAATTTCACCTGTTTCTACTGTTTCACTGTGACTACTAGGAAATTTAAAAGTATATCTGTGGTTCACGTTCTCTTTCCATTGGACAGCACTACTCGGAGGCCCCACCGTGGCTGGTTTCCTCACTAGGATTTGCTATAACGACAATAATTAGAACATGATGACATAATTGTCACCCTGATGCCTTCCTCCACCACCCTGATTAAATCGTACCCCCTTTCCCCTTTGCCCCCTCTTTCTCCTTAGCACTTATCACTATCGGACCTATTACATACTTACCTGTTTCTTTTACTTACTGTTGGTCTCCCCGACTATAATGTCAGCTCCACAGAGACAGGACTTCAGCCTGTCTTGCTCACTGTCACAGCCCTGCCCTTTGACCCAGACCTCGCTCAGCAGACTCTCAGTCAATGTTGAATGAATGAATGGATGACACAGATTTGCTCCATTACCCGGTCATTTGGGTCAATATTGCCAAGACTGCCGGCCCTTTTTGCAGTGTCCCCAGGGAAACCATGCCTCCGTGGTTGGGGACAGAGACTTGGCCTGGCATTTGAAACAAGACAGACCCAGGTTTGCCTCCTGACTTCTCCCTGAACCTGGAGTGTCCAGGGGAGCCAGCTCTGGGACTGTGGTTGGAACTCTAAAGGAAGAGGGACTCTCCTATTGGCTGCTAAATCAGAGGGATGTGTGCTCAGAGGTTTTGAGGGACACGCTGGCCACCACCAGGATAAGAATGAAGCCAAACCAGAGAAAAGAACTGGAGATATCATTTAAGCCCCTGGATCGACCTGTGCCTGAAGTCCTAAACTTTTCAGTTACCCATGAAAATAAATTCCCATTTCTATTTAAATCAGTGGAGATTGGGCTTCAGTCACTAGCTCTCTATGTGGCCTCAGGCCAGTGGCTTCCCATCTAGAGCCTCAGTTTCCCATTCTGTTAAGTGGGGACACATCATCGGGTGGTTGTGAGAATTAAGGAGAGGAGATCTGTCTTAAGTGCACATCCAGGAGCCTAGCACAGGGCTCCCGCCTCTGCTCTTGACTCTGATTCTGCTCCACCTCTTGTCCTGACACTTGAAGCTCTGGAGAGCACAGGAGCTTAGACACCTGGGGCTGGAGGCTGGACTCCAGGACCAAGCCCTGGCAATTCATCCTGGTGTCATCAAGACCCAGGAAAGGGGGTTTCACAGTCCTGCGCCAGGGATGGCCCAGCCTGGGGGCCCCCCATGGAGAATTTGAGCAGAGCACCTGTATGGATGCAGGTCAGAGGCAACTCGCCCACGTCACCTGCATCCTTCCCTACACGCCTCTGGCTTCCTGTGGCAAGCTCCAGTGCCTCTCCGCCTGCTGGCCTTTAGAAGCAGGAAAGGCAGGAAGTGCCAGGGAGTTAACATCTCCAGGAACAAGCTGTAACCAGTGAGAAATGGGAGCTGGTACCTAAATGTCACAATTTCTTCACCCCTAGGGTGGAACAACTTTGAGCGTGTCCCACACAGTCTCCTGGAGGTCCCAGTGGGATGGCTCCCCAGGTGCCCAGAGCGGCAACCAGCTCATCAACTCCTGTCCCTGGTTCACCCCCTGCTCCCTGTCTGTCTGCTGGGACCCCCTCCCCAGTCCCCCTGCTCCCTGTCCGTCTGCTGGGACCCCCTCCCAATCCCCCTGCTCCCTGTCCGTCTGCTGGGACCCCCTCCCCAATCCCCCTGCTCCCTGTCTGTCTGCTGGGACCCCCTCCCCAATCCCCCTGCTCCCTGTCCGTCTGCTGGGACCCCCTCCCCAATGAGCTACTTGTGCTTGAATCTTTTGCCTCAGGGTCCGAGGGACCCCAACCCAAGATGGGCTGATTCAGTTCTGTGTCCTGTGCTCAAGGCAAAGGGGTCTGTGGAGGCGGCTGTCCAGACATATCGGGACCGTGTGCTAGTTTCTAGGTCCTCGAGCACCGGATATCCTCACACGTCTGCCATAGACTGAACGTGTCCCCTCAAAATTCATGTGTGGAAATCCTAACCCCCAATATGATGGTCTTAGGAGGTGGGGCCTTTGGGAGTGAGTAGGTCATGAGGTGGAAGTGGTTAGTGCCCTTATGAAAGAGACCCCAGAGAGCTCCCTGCCCCTTCTGCCATGTGAGGACACAGCGAGAAGACAGCTGCCTATGAACCAGGAAGTGGACCCTCACCAGACACCAAATCTGCTGGCAGCTTGATCTGGGACTTCTCAGCCTCCAGCACTGTGAGAAATAAATGTCTATCATTTATAAGCCACCCAGTCTATAGTATTTTGTTATAGCAGCCCAAATGGACTAAGACACATCCTTTGAAAGTGACCATTTATTACATATGCCTGGGCTGTGTCCTCAGACTGGGGGGGGACCATTGACATAGCTGAGCACCACGTAAGGTGTCCTGGCCAGTCGGGCGGGAGAGGAGCAGGGGTCCCCTGACAGGGGCAGGAGCACTGTGGCACCCACCAGGAGAAGGAAGAGGAAGAGGAGAAGGAGGAAGGTCAGGGGCCACCTGGAGGCAGGAGCAGGGGCTCTGTGAAGGGAAATGCAGTGTTATGCAAATACGTGGGCTGCCACCATGAGCCCTGTCCCCACACCCGCAGACCCATCTCCCAGGCATCTCACCCAGGGTCTACCTCCAGCATCACATCCTGTAGGTGGGGAGATGCTTGCCTCTTCTTGTCCTAAAGGTAGACAGCACCCAGCAGCAGAATGGATGGAAGTGGCACTCAGTGTGGACTTTCTCTTACTACTACAGGCCAACAGGGCTGGGCTTACTTCTCCTCCATTCTTGGCCCCCCCCATCCCCCATCCCCAGGACCCCACATGGACCCCCTCCAATGTGGTGGATGTCTGTTTGTACCTGCCCTTCATCTGATCCTCTTTTTCCTGGTAACGGTGGCTTAATTTGAGGGGGATGGGGTCACACCTCCCCACTTTCCTGACCCCACACCTCCAATGCAGTGATTGGGCATGTGACCCAGATCTGGCCAATCCGAGTCCTCCATGAGCTTGGCCACTGTGACTGGTTCAGAGTAGAGGCCATGACCCAAGCTGGGCAAGTGGGAGTCAGCCCTGCAACTTTGCTGCCTGAAGGTCGGCAGCACGCTCCTTCCCCTGGGGTGGGTAGACCAGTGGGAAGTGAGTGTGTAGCCACTGGGGTGGCCATTCTGCTGAGAAGGAAACCACCTTGGGGAAGTAGAGCCCAAGGGAGGGAGGGATTGAGCCCTGACAGCATTTGAGGTCCTGCATTCAGCAGCGCCTGGACTTTTCAGTTACATGAAAAAACAGCATCCCCTTTTTTATGCAGTTCAATCTAGGCTGGGTTTCTGCCACTTGCCATCAAGATTCCTGAGCGATACACCTAGCTGAGGAGCAGCTCACCTGAGACTTCCGGAGCAAGGAGCGTCTTCGGTGCCCTGCTAAGTGTTTCCGGTGGCTAAGGCCTGACAGGAGCATGTCCTGTGGGGACAGAGCAGTGTGGGATCCTTGGAGAACCAATGACAAAGGGACACAAAGTTGAGGAGGGGCCAGGATGGGGAGTGTCACAGAGATGAGATTCTGGCGGAAGAGAGAGATCTTGAGGAGAGACGAAGAGAGGGGCAGAGCCAAAGAAACCAAGAGAAGAGAGACATTATTTATTCATTCAACAAATATTTAATGAGTGTCTGTTACATGCCAGGCACTCTTCTAGGAGCTGGGGACACAGTGGGCATGGAAACAGGCACAGTCCTGGCATCCATGGAGCATTATTCTAGCAGGAGAGAGAGACCATGCACCAATAAATAAATATATGTCAAAATGTGGTCATCGCTCTTAGGAAATAAAGCAAGAGGAGAAGGAGAGAGGGCAGGGCAGGCCTCTGCAAAGAGGTGACATCTGAGGAGTGAGCTGGGCATCATCTGGGGCCTTTGAGATGGGAGTGAATTTGGAATGTTCGAACAGCCAGGAGGCTAGTGTGGCTGTAGTGGGGTGAATGAGGGGGAGAATGAGAGAAAATGAGGAAATGTAGACACAGACAGAAGAGAAGAAAACGAAAAGTGAGAGAGAGGAACAGAGAGAGAGAGAGAGGGAGGGAGGGAGGAAAACATTGAGACACCAAGAGAGAAAGAGACTCCGACAGAGATAGAGGGGGAGAGAGCCACTAAGACCTCCTTGAAAGGGAAGGACCCTGCTAGGAGGCACACACGGGTGTCGTCCCCTGCCCCGCCCCGTCTCACCTCAAGGCCTTGTCCCCTGCCCTGAGAGCCCCTGTGGCCACACAGCTCACAGGGAGCCCCTGGTGTCAAGGGTGTCTTTCGCCCCAAGGGCCCAAGGCCCCCAACGTCCCCTGCCGGGTCCCACTCCAACTCTGCAGGAGTAGGGAGGCTACTGGGTGCCCGGGGCCCCCAGACTCCACCAGGTCCTGGCCCGTCCGAGTCCCCCTCGACCTCCAAATCCTGGTCCAATATGTTGGCCTCCTGGAACACCTGGTCAGAGGACAGAGGTCATGGGGGTTGTGGGATTGGCACCAGAGCCAGGGACTGCCAGGGTGGGCCATACCAGGCTGTAGCTGACCAGCTGGGCCTGCAGCCGCCAGAGCCGCCGGAAGATGCTGTCTCGGTGGGCTCCGAGGACCCTCAGGATCTGCTCCAGGGAGGCCCGGGTCTGGGGCTCACTCTGCTGTGCCAGCCCCTCACCAAACACCAGCAGCGCATCCACACGCTCAGCTGCCCCACGCAGGTCTGCCTGTAGGGCCTGGGTACACAGGGATGGCATCACTTCCCACACGCGCACCCACCAGGGACCAGAGACCTGGGACCTAGAGTCGCACCGTCCCTTTCCTATCTAGACACCTGGAACACAGAATAAACCCATTTCCTACGCCAGGAAGCTGACACTCACTCCTGAGGCCCTGCCCACCCTCCTACATCTTGGCTTCCCACTGCCCACCTGCAGCTGGACCATTCCGCTCTGGGCTGATGCCCAGGGCCCCAGGCCTCGCTCCAGGTCCTGCAGCTGGAGACCCAGCCCCAACAGGCAAAGGTGCAGGTCCCCCTGGTCAACCTCCAATATGTCGCGGGCAGAGATGGGGCACTGGGGAACACAGGGGGCTGAGTCAGGGCTGGTGGGCCAACCAAGACCTTGCCCCCATTCCCATTGCCACTCCTCTTCTGTAGGCTCCTGCCTTCTGGATGCTTCTCTGCAGCAGAGTCCATCTCCGGATCTGCACCAATGCTGCTCCCACCTGGAGTCCTTCCCAGCAGAGCCAGGCCTGAGGCCCTCTAGTTCAAAGTCTCCAGGTTTTCACGCTCCTGGAAACTTGGACATGTGGGGCCTGGGGGTCTGGAGAGGGAGGGGGCGATGGAGCTGGATACCCCTACAAGGAACAGGGCTGCATGCAAGCCAGCAATTAAATAATGCTCTCTCAGTTGGTAAAATAATGAGATACTTCCTTAGTGATTGGTAAAGAAGCATTTTCTAGAGCGGCCCTCCCCTCCCAGATGCCCAACACTTTCCCAGCACCATCACTTCATCTCCCATGTGGAGGGCAGATTCTGGGGGACAGAGAGGAAGTGGGGCTGGCACAGGGTCCCGGGGCACCTCAGCTCACCTCATGGTGTTTGCCCCCAGCTGGGTCCTCACTGGCAGAGGGTGCTGGCAGTCTGGGAGGGCCAGTAGCAGGCTCATTGCCCCTCAGCCCACCCTGGAAGTGCTCAAGAGGGTCCAAGGAATCCTGCCCCTGTTTCTGGGCCTGTTCCTGCCTGGTAGGTAGGGGACATTGACAGGCCCCTGGGTGATCCCTGGGACCCATTATCCACCCTGCCCTACCCCTGTACCTTTTGGGACCCAAGTTTCAAAAGCCCCAACCCCTACCTGATTCTCTCCTCTCCAGATGCCGGGCAGATGGCGCATCCAACGAGATTCAGTTCCCTAGGGGCTCCAGGGGGGTGGTTGAGGGGCTCTGAAGGGGGTCTAGGGTCCAGAGGTGGTAGGAGGGCCATAGCTGGGGCCTGGGGACAGATAGTCAATGAAAATCCCCAGTAAAAGCCCTTTTCCTAGCCAGGGGTAACCCCCCAGACGTCAGCAGGACTCACCCAGGCCTGAGGCAGCCAGGGGCCCAAGGGCCTGCTGGCTCCACCTCCTTCCAAGGGGAACCTGGAACCAGGTAATTTGACTCCCAGCTCAGGTGACAGAGGCACCACTTAACTCCTTCCTCCCTAGCAGACCAGTAGCTGGGAACCTTCCAGGCTCACCCTAGCCCTCCCCCCACCGCGAAAGGGTTCCAGATATAACCCCCACACACACCAGAGACCCGGATTCTGCCCCACCCAGTGACCCATTCATCTGACCCCAGGGGCCCCACCATCCATCTAAGGTCCCAGATGCATTGCCCCTCGGGAACCCAAGCATCTGGCCCCCACCTCCGAGAAATCTAAACCCAAAGAAAGATGTTTTGTTTTGTTTTATTTGGAATGGGGCCTTTTCCTGCGGTTCCCATAGTTACTGGGGAAATAACCCCAGAGAGCTGCCTCTGCCCCAGGGTTCCAAGGTCACAGGGACGCAGCCGTCCGAAGTCGGAGCGGGTCCCGGGGCCCGGCGTCACTTGCTGAGCAGGAGGCCGGTGCGCAGCACGCGGGGCACGCGGCGGATGGTCAGCGAGACGCGGGTGCCGCGGACCAGGCGGGCTCCGGGCCGCGCAGACGGGCAGGCGGCCGCGTTGGGAGGCAGGGAGGCAGCGTCGAGCGCGTCTACGCAGGCGGCTGCGATGCCGTGGAGGAGGCGCGTGTAGGCGGTGCCACGGAGCACCAGGAGGCTGCGCGGTTCGAGCAGCAGCGAGGTGGCCGGCCGGGGTGGGGGCCGGGGCTGCGGGGCAGGTCGACGGTCAGCCAGTCCCCAGAAGTCGGGGGACAGGCGAGAGGTCCGCAGACATTGGGGGCCAGGGGACGAGGGTCGAGTTCCCAGAGGCAAAGGCTGAGGGGCAAGCGTGCTCCCAGGGATGGAGAGGTTGAAGTGTAAATCCCCTGGGTCCCAGGGCCAGGGCTACGGGGAAGGGGAGGGGGGAGGTGCAACTGAGGGTCAGCGGCCAGGCAGGGAGATAGTGAGGCAGAGAAGGGGGAGGGGGGGTGCGGTCTGGGAGTATCTGGGGACATCAGGATGTTCGAGGGCACCGGCGCAGTATGGGGAGGGTGTCAGAGTATCCAGGAGCAGCAGGGCTAAAAAGGGAAGCCCTACGGAGCATCTGGGGAGTGTCCAGGGCAGTCTCTGTGGACACTGGGGTATCAGAAATGCATCACCCGGAGAAAGAGGTCAGGGAAGCTGCTGTCGTGAGCAACCGTCAGAGACGGGACACAGGATATCTGTGGGGTCCTTGAGCAGCAAGTCATGGGTTGAGGTGCCAAGGAGAATCTGGGGGTGTCCCACATGGCAGATCACATTATTGGAGTGGCAGGGAGGAGGTCAGTCTCGGGGTGCCCTGTGCAGTGGGCAGGGAGAGCCAGGATGTTGGGAGGATGTCAGGGCCACCCATGAGTGAATGGTGTTGGGGTATCTGAGGATATCAGTGTCCTCTGGAACACTGGGGAGCCCTGCATGGGGTATGAAGACCTTGGGCTACTGGAGCAATCTGAACGTGTGGGGCCAGCAGATTTGTAGGGTGTCGGGGCATCCATTCAGCATGGGGGGGTTATTAGGGTGTCTGTGGACATCAGGTTTCTAGGGCATTCTGCAAGTAGATGGGTCAGGTGTCTGGGAGGATGTGAGTGCACTCCATGAGGGGACAGGGGAAGGTGTCTGGGAGGGTATCAGCCCAGTGGGACTGGGGCCTCTTGGAGGATGTGGGATGTCAGAGTGCCCACGAGTGACTGGGGCAGTGTCTCAGGGCCCACCTGCTCTGTAGGGTCATCATCCTTTGGCTGCCGCGGCTCGTAGAGATCCAGCATGGTGTGGGAGCCCAGGCTGATGGTGCTGACAGTCGGGTAGTACAGTGGCCCGTCCTCGTGGGGCTGGGGAGTGGGCACCAGGGCTGGACAGGGCAGGAGTCCACACCCCCCACCCTCTGGAGTTCAAGGGGGGCTCCCCAGCTGGGGACAGGGAGGTGAATGCCTGGTTGGGGTATGCGGCTGCTTAATGAGAATGGAGGTAGGTCAACATGATGCCCTGCCCCATGGTGGATCAGAGGTCTGGGGGTCAGGGTGAGGGTGTGTGGTTACCATGATGCCCTCCCCAGGCAGATACTGGTTCACAAGGACGTGGTTGGCTGGGAGACCCCCAAAAAGGCTGAGATCAGACACTTTGTCCACGTAGCGCTGGAGCCACAGGGGCAGCCGCTCAGGAACCATCCCCCGGGGATGGGGGAGCCCACCTGGGGGAGGACAATGAGGTCCTGAGGGCACCCAAGCAAGGAGCCCTGGCACCTGGAGCCCCCATTAGGGATATCCCAGTGGTTGGTAGCACTCTGACCCCCTCAGGGACCCCTGACTCTTTGGAGACCACCATCCAACCCTTCAAAGGTTTCTTGACTTCTCCAAACCCCTGAACCCTTCGAGAGACAACCCTCCTCCCCACTCATCAGGAAATCCCTAACCTCTCAGGACCTCCACTGACCTCTCAGAATCCTCCTGGCCCTTGGGACCTCTTGAACCCTCAAGGACCCCCCAATGTCTTGAGCCTACCCAACCTGAGCCGCCAGCCCCAGCCCACACCCCCAAATCACCCATGCCCCCAGGCAGGGACACTTACCCCAGTTCTGTAACTTCCTCCCGGAGAGCTGGGTCCACTTAGGCTTTGGGGCATTGAAGACCTGGGAGATAGGGAGGGGATCACCCCTTTTTCAGGACCACCCTCTCTGATTCTCCCATCCAGCCCAACATACGGGTCTTGACTTGGGGTGCAAATGGGTCATCTCAGTGTCTGGGATCATTCTCTGGGACACAGAGTCCCCAAGATTCTGTCATTTTCCCTCTCCTCTGTGGAGGCCTCTGGCCCCAAAGCCCACCTGTGTCTACCAGGGCAAAGGAAAGGATCCAGGGCTACACAATCATGGTTTGAATCTACTCACAGCTCTGGGCTGGCCTGGGCTCTTTCAGCCCAGCAAATAGTCTGGACTCTATAATTTCCTGATTTCTGGGCTATCTCAGCACAGTCTGACTTCTGGAACTTCCTTGTTCCTATTACCTGGAGGAGGGAATGTGCTAAGCTGGGCTATCTCAGCATAGCAAAGAGAGTATTTTGAAAATTCTCCAGTGCCAAGATCCCAAGGGTCTAGAATGGGCAATCTCCAAGAAGTCTATACTCAATAATCTCCTCATTCCCTTCATGGTTATGGGGCTGGAATGAGCTATCTCAGCACAAGGGACTGTGTTCTGTAGCTAACTTGTTCCTGGAACTCGAACTAGACAGGACTAGTTGGGATAGCTAAGGGAAGATCTGTGCTCTATAACTAAGGCTCTGGGGCTGTGAAGGGCTATCCCAGTGCAAGGACTCTAAGCTTTGTAAATTCTTCTTTCCCCAAAGCTTAAAAGTAGAATGCAGGGGGCCAGCCCCGTGGCTGAGTGGTTAAGTTCGCGTGCTCTGCTTCGGCGGCCCAGGGTTTCACCAGTTCGAATCCTGGGCATGGACATAGCACCACTCATCAAGCCACGCTGAGGCGGCATCCCCACATGACACAACTAGAAGGACCCACAACTAAAAATACACAACTATGTACCAGAGAGCTTTGGGAGAAAAAAGAAAAATTTAAAAAAAAAATCTTAAAAAAAAAAAAAAAAAAGAATGCAGACTGTGCTATCTCAGCACAGGTGGTCTGTGCTTGGTTCTTTGTTCCCAGGACTCTGGGTCTATGCTGAGCTACCTCAGCAGAGGGAAAAGCTTACTCTGTAACATTCTGATGCCTGGGCTATCTCGGCACAGAAATCTGAGCACTGCAAATTCTTCATTTCCCAAATCGCAACGGCCTGAACTGGGCTATCTCTGCCTATCTTTATAACCTCCTTTTCTCCAAGATAGCAGGATTGGGCTATTTCAGCACAGAGAGGATGAGCTCTCTAACTTCCTTGTTTCTGAGGCTCTGGGGTTACACTGCGCTCTTCGAGCACAAGAAATCTGATCTTAATAACATCCTCATTTTGGAGGCTAGACTGGGCCATCTCAGCACAGGGAGTCTGCGCTCCTTCTTTCTAAGAATCAGTTTGATTTCCCCTAAACCTCCTGGGAAAAGCTCTTTCTGACAGACCTCAGCAGGTCCTGAGACAGGAATAGGGAAGGAGAGGGATGGGTGCTGCCAGGATCTTCACTGTCGCCTTGGGGGCTCTCACATAGGACCTGAGGTTGGGGAGGGATCTGGGAAGAGGGGGAGGACAGACCAGAGGGCACTGGGGTCACCTGTCGAAGCAAATACTCCTCCTCGTCCTTGGAGATGAAGTCAGGGACATAGTAGATTACAGGTGGTGCCTAGGATAGAAAGATCCCCCTGAAGGTATGGCCCTTGGACCTACACAGGGGCCCTAGCATTGCTGAGCAGCCCCTCCCTGTGGAGCAAGGCTTAGGATGTCCCCAGACAGGCCAGGGCCTGAAATCGAGGGACAAATGCCCATTTTGGGGGTAGGAAGTCCCCAAGCGAGGGTGGGGCTGGACCCTGAGGGTAAGAATGAATTTGGAAGGAGGGAGCAGCCCCAGCCCACAAACCCAGGAGTCAGCCACTCTATCTCCCACCATCTAGTCCCCACCTTCACCCTTTGCCCCCCCCATCCTGACAACCTGCTCCACCCTGAATGGTTCCAGGGCTGGGACCCTGGCGTCCTGATCCTCCATCGACACCAACTCCATGCACCCAGTCCTGTGGGGAGGGGAGGACACGCTGAAGTCACCAAGCCTCCCACCCTCAGGCTATGACCCCACATTCTGCTCTATTGCAGGCCAGGGCCTCACCTCAGCCCTGTAGTGAAACTCACTTCGTTTCTAAAATCTGAGTCCTTGGCATCGTGATCAAAGCCACCCAGTGAGTCCCCAGGCTCCTACCAGGACACCCAGGACAGTGAGCACCCAGAACACTCCCCCAAAATCCATCCACTAAGGGCCCATCAAAGTACACATATTTGCCCTCTCAAGCCTCTCACAGAGGGCATCCTCTGACCTCACTGGGAGCCTTTCTCAAGAGCTCCACACATAGCCTCCAGGGCTGCATCCCGCAGCCCCTTTAAACACCTTAATTTGAGACCCCATCCTGACAACTTCAGACTTGCAACCATGAGACTGGCTCTACACCAACATTCAGGGTCCCCATGGACCTTCCTCTAGCCCTTTCAGATACCCAATTCTGAGCACCCTTGTGCCACCAATCGGATGAGTCTCCTCACACGCGTCCACTCTCAGTCTCGTCGGATCCCCCTATTCTGGACCCCTCAGACTTCACCTTCCTCAGCGCCCCTTCACTGCAGCACCCTTGGACCTTCAGCTCTGAGCCTGACTCCTCTCAAATGTTCTTCCCTCCCTGAACCTCTTAGAGCCCCCTCTCTGAGTCTTCTAGGACCCCACACTCTGAGCTTCCTCAGATCCCCACTCTCAGCCCTCTCGGAGCCCTAGCTCCGCCCTCCGCCACCCCCAAAACTGACCGTCCACCAGTGTCCCCTCCAACATCCAAATTCAACACCCCCATTCCCTTCCCAGCCACTTCCGCCCCACGTGTCTGACGCAGAAGCCCTCACACCAATGGGAACTCTCAAAGGCCATGAGGGTCCGCCTTCCACCCAATCGGCGCCCTCACTCAGTACTGCCCCGCCCCCTCACCCTCGTTCAGCGATAGGCTGCGCCTCCTGGCCTCTAAGCCACTGGGGACCCTGCGGAGACGGGTCTTCGTCCGGCACCCACCAATCAGAACTCCAAAACCGAACCTGTCCACACTGCGGAGTGGGCCCAGATGGGAGGGGCAGCCGTGGCCGCCACGGGAAGGAAAGGAGACTGTAAGAAGGGACTTCCCCCAGGCTAGAGCGTCCTATGCCCATGCCGCAGGGAGGCGAGATTGAAGGACTTCCTCTCCCATCTCCCCTCAGCAAGGGGACAGAGGCAGGGCCTAACTCCCCAAACACTGACCCGACACAGAGAAGCCATAGAAACGTCTTTATTGAAGGGGGCAGGGGTCATGCTGAGTTCGGGGACATGCAGTGAAGGGGCAGTCGTGAGCTGTCCTTGGTGGTCAGGGCCCCAGGTCCGCCCTGGACTCCCTGGGCCTTCAGGGTCTCCCTCAGGCTGTTGCTCTGGCCCGATGCTGAGGTCCTTTGGGGCCAGTGACTCAGATTTGGTGTTTTGGACCTATGACCGGAATGTAGATTGAAATGGGGGCTCCCGGATTTGGGGTCCCCTCAAGGCCTTGGGGCCCTTCATGTATTAGATATGGAGGCTTTAGGATTTGAGGTTCCCTTGGGGCAGGGGCTCTTGGAATTTGGGTGTCTTGAGACCCACGGAGTCGGAGCATTTAAGTCCTCAGGTTTCCAGTGGTGAGAATTCCTGTTTGGGGTCTCCTGGTGCCTATGAGTAGGGCTTGAGGTGCCCTGGGAGCCCGGGATGCATATCCTGACTGCAGTCTCCTCCATCCCAGGCACAGGGGCCTCCGTGACTGGGGTTTCCAGGGGGGTTGGGATTGGATTTTTAAATTTGGGATTCCCTGGGGATTTGGGGATTCTGTGATTTTGGGGTCCTGGGAGTTAGGGCCTTGGGGTCTTCTAGGGGCTATAGGACTTGGGGGCACAGGGTAGTTTGGGACATATACTCTGGGGTTTGTGATCCCCAGAGTCTCAGAATGGGGCCTCCAAATTTTGGGGTCCCCCAAAGGGGGAAGTCATTACTTAAAAAATAGAGAATTTTCTGGGAACCTGGCCAGCACAGGGGCTGTAGGCCATGTGGGGTGGGCTTCATACAAGGCACTGGGGGTTTCTTGAGGGTGCAGAGGGTAGGAAGACTTAGGGGTCCTGTAATTAGCACTTCCAGGACTGTTTTGGTGTCTGTAAATTGGGGGTGACAGTGGGCTGGTTAATGTGAGTCTCTTCTTGAGGGGTAAGAGCAGGGGCCTTTGTTAATGGAGGGGGTCTCTGATTTCAGTGTAAGGGTTTTGGGGTGACCATGGGAGTCACAACATCTTGAGGGGACTGATGTTAAATGTGGGATAGCGACAGGAAGGTCTGTTACTCTTACTCTGGAGGTGTGACCTGTGTTTATTTCAAGGAGACTTGATTGGGGGGTGGTCTTTGTTAATGGGGGAGGGCTCTGATCCAGTGATGAGTGACTCAGGAATGTTCTGCTGTAAAGCATTATATGGAGAAGGTCACCATCATTTGGGGTGAAGTGGAAATCTGTTAATCGGGGGGTCTGCTCTGAGGGGTTGGGGACAGGGACTAGCCCAAAGGTGCTACACGCAGGGAATCTCTTTCTGGGTAACACGGGGTCTGTAGTTGGGGGGTTATGAGGGAATCTGTTAATAATGGGGCCTCAGTGATTGAGGGCTGGCTAATGGGGATCTCTATTCTGGACGTGTTACTGGGAATCTCTATCTCAGGGTGACTTGGGGGGCTCCTTGTGTCAGGAGACGCTAGAGGGGGCTCTGTGTCTCTTTGTTGGGTGTCCAGGGCCTCTAAGACTGCATCTCCGCCCTCAGCATCCAGGGAAACCAGCAGCAGAAGAGCAGCCTGCAAAGGAGAACCGTGTCACACCCTGATGCGGGGCGGGGGACGTGGGGACCCACCCCCCAGCTCTTCCCCGCGTGGCTGGGACTCGGCCTTTCTGGAGTCTGCCTCTGGCTCCCCGGCTGTGCCTTCGCAGGCTCCTGCGGAGTGGAGGGTGTTCTGCCCCCTCTACCTGCCCCTTACAAGTTGAAGTCACCAGAATTCAGTGTGGGGCCTCACTCCCTGAAGACTGTTTCTGGGTAAGCTGACTAGTCACAAATTTTCCTAACCTCTTTTTCCAGCCCCACCCAGAGCTCCAGACCCACGTCCAACGGCTTTGTGGCTGCCTCTCCCTGAACATCCCAGAGGAGAGGGGGCCAGGGGTTGCTACACACCTGGAGATGGAGTTCTCTGATGCGATGTCCTTTGGGGTCCGGACTGTCGTGAAGGTGCGTTTGGGCTGCGTCACTGAAGGGGAGGGAAAGGTCTCAGGTGAGGGGATGACAGACCCACCTGTGCCCTCAAGACCCACCCAGACTCCTTGCCATTAATACTTATCCACATTCCCAATACCCAGCTGGACCCCACATTCTCAATATCCACCTGGACCTCTTATCAATAATATTCCCTGTGTCCCCCAACACCTACCCATGTCCCCAGTGCCTGCCCAGGGCCTTGTGGCTAACACCTCTATACCCTATAGCACCTGTCCTCTTTGGGATCCTGTCTCATCATTTTCCTGGATTATGTGTCCCCAGTTAAATACTGGAGATTCTGTCACCAGCATATACCAGAGAACCCATGGCCCAGACCCCACACTTCAGTCCCCAACTCACTTGTCACTTGATGCACTTTTTTGGCTCCGACGTTGTCCCCAGGGGGGTCAGTGGATCCACCAATCCTGGGGAGACACAAGGAGTGGGAGGAATCAGAGCCACAAGAGTCCAGGGTCTGACGGGGCTGAGCCCCAGGGGCCCCAGGCAGAAAGAGCTAGGGCATGGGTGGGTATCCATACTGTCCTGCTGGTCCAAGAGGAGGAGACATCTGAGGGGGGACTAGGGTTCTGGGTGGTGCCCTGGGCTGGGGTCGGAGTTTGGGCTCACCTCTGAATTCGGGATGCTGGCGCAAAGACTCCATGCCTTGGGGGGCAGGTGAAGTACCGGACGCCAAAGACAGAGCCGTCATGCTTGCCCGTGGGCTGGTCTAGCTCGATGCCATACCAGTAACCTGCAGCAGGCAGGTGTCAGGATGCCTTGGGGCCCTCCCCCCACCACCGCCCAGATCCCCGTCCTCACCTGGGGCGAAGTCTGTCTTCCCGTAGAAGCGCACAATGCCTTGCTTCTGGCCCGCGACAAGGACTTGGTCTCCGACCTCAGCCTTGGCCCCCTCGCGCTGCTGCAGGCTGCCCAGAGACGGGGATGACGAGGGCTTCTTCTTGGCTGGGGGTGGAGGGTACAGGGCATGGGGCTGGGGCCCCCATGCCACCCAGAAAGCCCCAAGGTAGAAACTGTGTCCTGGCTCCAATCAGAAGAATTCCAGAGCCTTCCCCAGAACTGGGTGGGTGAGGGGGGTGTCCTTGGGATTGAAAGGAAACAATCCTCGCTGCCAGAGAACTGGGCGGGGGGACACTTTAGGCCTGAGGGGAAACTGAGTCAAGAACCTGGAGAACCCTAAAATCCTTTCTCAAAGTTGAGGATATTTGGGCCAAAGGAAAAACTGAGTCACAAAAGTCAGAAACTCAAAGAACTCAGGAACTCTAAAACAAGAGTTTGGGCCTGAGGAGAAACTGAGTCACAGAAGCTGGGCTCCCCACAGAATATCTTCAAGACTGGTTCTCCTCACCCCTAGGTCTCCCCCTCTGACCTTTGTGTTCCCTGCGGCCTTTGCCAGTGACACGGGAGAAGTCCATCCGGGGAGTCCGAGGTGTGGAGGTGACCGACGAGGGGGGTGCGTCCACTGCCTTGGAGATCTTGGACACAGAGGCAAAGAGACCTGCGGGGAAGAGCCTGGGCTGGAGTTGTCCAAGCCTTTGCTCCCTGACCCACCATCATCCCCCAATCCCCATTACCCAATCAGCAGCATCACAATGACTGAGTGGACCCCACCACCTCCCCTCTGGGCCCCGGGTGGGACTGACCCTGCTTGGGAGGGCAGATGAAGTACCGGACACCCCCAACACTGCCATCATTCTTGCCCTCAGGTTCATCCAGCTCCACGCCCACCCACTGGCCACTGGCGAACTCCGTGGTCCCGCAGAACCGCAGCGTGCCCGTCTGAGGAAACAAGAAAGGATATGGCTTGAGGGGCCCCTGGGAGGCCACAATAGATCACTGGCACACAGGAGCGTGGTGGGGTGGATGAGGGAGCCCCAGGCTCAACTCCCAGCTCGGACTTGTCCATTTACTGGCTGTATGACTTAACCTCACTGTGCCTCAATGGCCTCATCTGTGTAATGGGAACAGAAATCGCACCCACCTTATAGGATTGTTACAGAGCTGCCCTGTCCAATGCAGTAAATAGCCACTAGACACATATGACAATTTCAATTTAAATTAATTAAAATTAAATTAAAATTTCATTTCCCCAGTTGCACTAGCCACATTTCAAGTACTTAATAGCCACATGTGGCCTGTGGCTACTTCACTGGACAGCGCAGACACAGGACATTTCCATCATCTCAGAAAGGTCCAATGGACAGGCTGTTATAAAGAAGTGAAAGCTCTCAGAACAGGGCCTGGTGCTGAGTAAGGCAGTAAGTGCTGAGTATTATCATCCAGTAGCTTTCGTCAAGGGACCTCCTGGGCCTCAGTTTCCTCTGGAAAATGGGGTAACAATCCACTGCATAGGTTGGTTGTCTGATTGAAACATTTTTAATATATGTAAAGTTGCCTAGCTGCAGTGGGTGTGGTTATCATCACTGTGTGAGGCTCCTTCACTCTCTGAGCCTCAGTTCCTTGTCTGTCAATGGGCTAATTAATCATGCCCACGTCAGGCGGGGGTGTGGACATCGGTGCCTGGCCCACAAAGAGTGCTTAGGAGGCACCAGGCCCTGTTCAAAGCGCTGTACACATTTTAACCAACTTAAACCTCATACAACCCCCTGAGATGGGTACTGTTATTTGCTCCATTTTATAGATGAAGAAACTGATGCCCAGAGAGCTGGAATCACTGGGCCCAGGCCCCACAGCCGGTAAGTGACAAAGCTGAGATTTGCCTGAGGACTCCCTGAGCTCATAACCATTGTGCTGTGCTGCCTCTCTAAGGGGCAGAGATTGTGATCACACATCTTCAGACAAAGGGTTTCACCTCTCTGAGCCTCTTACAGTCTTCTGGGCTGTCAAATGGGGAGGGCCAATCCATCCTGCTTTCAGAACTGTCACAGGGATGTGATTAGATCATGTACAGAAAGCTTTCCAGATGAGGCTGATGCATGCAAAACTCTTGATTAGGAAACAAAATGTGGCTTTTATGGCTTCTGACAGTACAACAAACAAAATCCAAATTCCTTCCAGTGGCCTGCAGGTCTGGTGTGATCCAGACCCTGCTGACCTCTCCACCTCACCCTCCAGTCACATACCCCTTCCCTCCTCTGGGCCTCTGTACCTGCTGTTTCCTCTGTCTCCATATTTTTGCAGGGTGAGCTCCTTCCCATCTCAGCTCAGACATCACCTCCTCAGAGAAGCCTTCTTGAAACACCTCAGCTAAAATTATCTCTGCCCTCAGTCAGAGACAATTTACTAAATCTAAGCATTTAATGGTTGTCAAAGCCCTTGTTGCTACCAGAAATTATCTTGACTATGGGTTTGCTTTATTGTCTCTCCTTCATTAGAAACGGAACTCCGTGAGAGCCGGGCCAAGGCTGACACAGACCTTTACCCCCAAGGATGGACTGGGTCCAGTATGGAGCCTGAGCCACCAGATAAGTGAATCAAAGTTGGAAGGCCTGGAGGAATGAGGATTCTCTCTGCCCTCTGGGCCTTTGACCTGCTCCCCTTACCTGAGACCACTTCTCCCTTTCTTCTCCTGGCTCCTCCTCATCTTCAAGTGGGGGCATACCCCATCACACCCCTGATCGCTCTGACCTATACTTTTTTCCCAAAGTACTAACCACTCTGGGTGCAGACGTGAGCCCTGACTGGGGACCACGAGGCCAAGGGGGATGCAAATGGGGCAGAGCTGCACTGATTGCTCTGCTTCTGCTTCCCCATGACAGCCAGGACTGCTCTGGGCTGTCACTGACAGGTGATGGATCTGTCTCCCCACCCCGCCCCAGACCAAGAGGGTGGGGCACAAAGGAGGCACTCACAGGATGACTATTAGATGAAATAAATACTGTGTGAATGACTGGGAGGGTGGGCAGACAAAGGGGTGAGTCTGCACTCTGCCCAAGGACCAGCTCTGAGGGATGAAGGATGAGTCCCCCCCCTGGCCTCCCTCCTAGTCCCTGACCTTCTGGCCATCCAGCAGCACGCGGTCTCCCAGGCGCAGGCCCAGTGCGCTAAGCATGAGATTGCCTGGGACGTTGTCATAGTTGGGCAGTGTGACCTTGGGGAGGGCACAGGAGAGTGGCACAGCCTCCTCCAGTAACGTTCGCAGCTCCTTGGCCACCAGCGCCGCCTCTGCTTTGTCCAGGGACATGTCCATGGGGTCTGGAACCACCTCTGCCGGCACCTGTCCCTTTCGGTTCTGGGAGCCAATGGGAAGAGAGAGGGCGAGGACTCAGTGGTGCAGGCTATGCCCCCACAGAGCCCATGCCCCCAGAGACCCAGGATCTTGGTGAAGCAGAGGTGGGACTAGCTCATACCCTGGGCCAATGGAATAAGAAGGGCTGGGGCATTAAAGTGCAGACCTCGTCCCCAGGGAAGTCCACCCCTGAGACCTCATGCTGAGGTGGGACTGGGGTGGGGCCAATAGGGAATGAAGGTCACCCTTCAGTGCTGTAGACCATGCCTTCAGGGAGCCACGCCCCCAGAGACCCCAAGCCCGGAATGGGACCATGTGAGGGATGAACATTGAAAATGGGCTCCTGTGGTACTGGGACGGGTCCAACTGGGCCAGTGGGTAGTGAGGAGAGGCAGGGCCTCAGGGCCACAGGCCATGTCTCCCCAGGATATGTGTGCCTGGGGTGCTGCAGAGTAATTCATGTTGGGGATGGGACCTGGAAATGGATGGGTGGGCAATCAAAGATCACACTGAGGGCTTATGGGGGCCCAACCCTCTCATTTGCCAAGGGTCTCAGCTTGACTTTCTTCATCATCCCGAAATGCTGTCTACCCACAATCATGGGGTCAGCCAGGATTGAAAGAAGATATTCCTTGCTGGGTGACCCCAGACAAATCACTTACTCTCTTTGCCTCAGTTTCCCCACTATAAAATAGGGCTCATAATAGAGTCACCTGACATATCATGAATGCTAAATAAATGTCAGCTATCATTTCATTTGTTGAACATACAGATGATTTTTGTAATATTTTGAGAGCTTTCAGAAACGCAAGTGGTTCTGCCCCCTCCCCCCCATCCTCTGCAGAGGCCTGCTGGCGGGAAGTGGGGAGGGGAGCAGGGAGAAGGAAGATGATGGGCACTGGGCCAGGGTGGCAGTACCCGCAGGGCCGGGTTGGCGCCGTGCTCCAGCAAACATTTGGCGGCTCCCAGGCAAAGGTTGGAGGCAGCGATGTGCAGGGCTGAGCCGTGGTTGAAGTCACTGCATGTGGAGTTCACCACTGGGAAGTGGGGAGAGGAGGGCTCCGGATGAGCGTCCTCGGCACCCGCCCTCCCTCTGCCTTCCAGCCCCCATCTCTCAACCACAGGCAACCTCTGCTGTAGAGCGCCGCCCTACCCCGCCTTCTCGGCCACGCCCCTCCCGACCAGGTCCTGCCCTGTCCTGCGGTTGTGGACCACGGAGCCCCATCTCCCACACCTCCTGCCTCCAGCCTCCCACTGTCTCCTCGGATCCTGGTCCCCCCTTCCCTCCCAGCCAGGCCTCTGTTGGGCCCCATCTCTCGGCCTCCCACCTTCTTCCCTCCACGTCTCCTCCCCTCCCCCCACACCCTGGGCACCCACCTTTGGCTTCCAGCCCTCCTCCCTGGCCTTGGTCCCGCCCCTCCCAGCCGGGTACCCTCCCCTCACCTCGGGGTCGCGCGCCCTTCAGCAGCACGCGCACCAGGTCGGGCACGTCGAAGTAGGCGGCGTAGTGAAGCGCGTTCATGTTGGTCCAGCGGCTGCGCAGGGTCACGTCGGCGCCCAGGGCCAGCAGCTGCTGCGAGAGGCGCACGGCCGCCGCCGGGTCCCCTGCGCGACAGCCCCGGTCAGCTTGCATCCCCTCCTCCAGAGCGTGGGCCCAGGGCCTTAGGGACTGTACTTGGGGTCTCAGGCTGAGGGGTCAGGGTGGAGGTCTGCAGGCTGGGGTTCTGGGTGGTAATGAGGGTGTTGGGTCTAGGGGCCTGGGTTTTGGGGCTCATGGTTTGGGGGGTTCAGGCCCTCACCGACTCCGTGGGCCCCAGCCTTGCACGCATAATGGAGCAGCGTCATGTCGGTCAGCCCGTCCCGATCATTCACATGGCAGCCTCGACGCAGAATCTGGGAGGACCAGGAGTCCAGGGAAGGTTACCCAAACGTGGGAGGGACCCCCGCCTCTCCCTGCCTGGCTTCCGGTGTTCTCACCTCATTGCCGATGACATCGATCTTGTGCTGGACTTGGGGCACCCACTGGCGCACAATGGCGAACAGCTCAGGGATGGTGGTCTGCGGGTCAAACAGAATCTCCTGGCAGGCCGGGTCATTGGGGTCGAAGAAGGTGAAGGCTGGGGTGGTGAGAGGTCCAAGGTCACCCAAGGCAAGCTGGCACCCTCCTTCCATCCTGAGGCAGGGGGGCTCCAGGTCTTTGCCCTTAAGACCTTCTAATGCAGGGTCTCAAACTGGGGGCACATGGGCCACAGGCAACTTCTGTGTGTTGTACATGAGGTTTCAAAATCAGGAGGTTTCA